GCTTCTTGTACCAAACACAATGGAGTGCAATGTGCATAGGTCAAGAGGCGGTAAAAACGCAGAGGCCGACACTCTAAAGTCACCACTTAAATTAACTGACACATCCCCATGGTCTCTGAACGGCACGTGACCACGGAGAAGAGAGTGAGCTCGATCAAACCGGCCAGTTCTCGATAGGCGGATTTTGGGAGGAAAAAAAAAAAAGCGAATTTCGAACCGCATATTTTGTTTTGGGTAGCTGGGCATGGGCTGGGTTTTGGGCATACATCGGCAAACCTCACTCATGAGGGCCCTCACTCACCCTCACTCACCCTCATCTTCACAGGTGAGGTGAGGGTGAGTGAGTTTCTGAACCAGGAAAATTCATGAGTGTGAGGGTGAGTGAGGGCCGTGAGGGCTGTGAGGGCCGTGAGGGCCGTGAGGGCGGTGAGGGCCGTGAGGGCGGTGAGGGCCGTGAGGGCCGTGAGGGCCGTGAGGGCGGTGAGGGCCGTGAGAGCCATGAGGGCGGTGAGGGCGGTAAGGGGTATGAGGGCCATGAGTGCGTGAGGGGCGTGAGGGCGGTGAGTGGCGTGAGGGCCATGAGTGCATAAGTGGTGTGAGGGCGGCGAGTGCGTGAGGGGTGTGAGGGCCATGAGTGCGTGAGGGCAGTGAGTGGCATGAGAGGCGTGAGGGCCGTGAGGGCCATGAGGGCGGTGAGCGCATGAGGTGTGTGAGGGCCATGAGTGCGTGAGGGCGGTGAGTGCGTGAAGCCCCCTTCAGATCGAGCATCTTTCTCAGCAATTTTGGTGTTAATGGCGGGTTGTTCTCTAGCTTTCCCTAGATCGACAGGAATTGCTGAGATCGGGTCCGGCTTGAAATAAGCAAGCAACTCGGAGCAATTCGAATACGTTTGAAGCGGCTGCATCCAATCAGGGACGCAAAATTTTCACGCGATACCTCGTGCCGGTGATGATGACACTGAAGGACTTGGTTCTGGTTTGAAATCGATCGTTTTTTGGAAATAGCCTGTTTCAGAAAGGTGCATTAGTATTCTTAACGAGGTTTAAATGCATAAAAACACGTTTATAACGCGTAATTGTGTCTAAATAGTGCAAGAAAAATAAAATTTTATGATGACGATGGCAAACTGCAGCAATTGGTTGCTGCGTGTGAACGCGGGCGGCCCGTGTTGCTGGTGTTGCGACGTAAAGTTTCTGGGCGAAATTGCCCCATCTAGAGCTGGCCTGAGTGGCGTGAGGGCCATGAGTGCGTGAGGGGCGTGAGGGGTGTGAGGGCCGCAAGGGCGGTGAGTGGCGTGAGGGCCATGAGGGCAGGGCCGTGAGGGCGGTGAGTGGCGTGAGGGCTATGAGTGCGTGAGGGCCGTGAGGGCGGTGAGGGCGGTGAGGGCCGTGAGGGCGGTGAGGGTCGTGAGGGCGGTGAGTGGCGTGAGGGCGGTGAGTAGCGTGAGGGTCATGAGTGAGTGAGGGGCGTGAGGGCCCTGAGGGCGGTGAGGGGCGTGAGGGCGGTGAGTGCGTGAGGACCGTGAGGTTCAGTGAGGTTCAGTGAAGGGCTGAAGGTGAGTGTGAGGGTGAGTGAGGGTCTGAAGGTGAGTGTAGCTGTGAGGGTGAGGGTGAGTGAGGGGCTTAGGTGAGTGTGGCTGTGAGGGTGAGGGTGAGTGAGGGCGACCTAAAATGCCGACCTCTGGTTTTGGGTAGTTGAGGTTTTGGGGATATGACAAGTACAAATCTTGTCCAGCTCGCTTGCACCTTTGCATTCAATAGCATTATGATCTGAAACTTAAATTGCAAGCTTCACCCTTGTTGGTGTTAGACTGGTGGCACCTGATAAAACCCGTTCGCTCTACTGACGTCTAACCCCTGGTTAGCTCAGTTGGTAGAGCGCTCCACCTGTAATAAAGAGGTCCCGGATTCGATACCCGAACCAGGCGGATTTTTTCGGTCGCCCACCAGTCACCTAGCTGTGTTTGGAGATTTGTGCCTGTCCTTTGTCCCTCTTGTTCCCTTTCTCCATAGCTTATTTTCATAATTTCTTGTCCAGCTCGTTTCCACCTTTGCATTTAATTGCATTATAATCTGAACCTTAAATTGCAAGCTTCACCCTTGTTGGTGTTGGACTGGTGGCAGCTGATAAAACCCGTTTGCTCTACTGACGCCTAACCCCTGGTTAGCTCAGTTGGTAGATCGCTCCACCTGTAATGGAGAGGTCCCGGGTTCGATACCCGGACCAGGCAGATTTTTTCGGTCGCGCACTAGTCACCTAGCGGAGTTTAAAGATTTGTGCCGGTCCTTTGTCCCTCCTGTTCCCCTTCTCCGGGGGTTATTTTCATCATTTCTTGTCCGGCACCCTTGCACCTTTGCATTTAATTGCATTAAAGTAAATACCCTGTCAATGTCCCCTCAAATCAGGACGCAGCCCATGCTACGAGTTATTCGGGCCAATCAAACTACGTCAAAAGTCAACCGAATAACATGGTGTTCGTCATGTCAATGTACGTGTTCCATCATCGCTTAACCTATCATGTCTACATCTACATTAGCTATAACTAGAATACTGTGTTTTCCGAGTTTAGTTTTTTTTTTTTTTGTACGTGAAATTCGGAGGGTGTTCTTTGGAGAATATTATCTTTGGAAATTCAAGGTTTATCAGAGTTTATTTTTGTTAGATTCCCAATTCCCCGAAATTCGGAGTTTCCTTCTACTTTAAAAAATATATATAATGTCCGGACAAAATGCACACTAAATTCATGAAACAAATCACCGGTATCGAAAGATATTTCAGCAGCTGCATTTGGCGTTGGCGCCTTTGCGATCGGCAGTATACTAACCGTCACACGACATATCTTGAAAACAAGTGTTACTTAAATAAACATCGGTACTTTGAAACGACGAAACTCCCTGACGCATAAAATATTCAGCTGCCCTCCCCATCCTATGAAATCTACCGGTGCACATACTGCACTGTTATAAACACCAAACCCTTCCTCCCTCTAGGAAGCACAACTAGTATGGTTCAAACTGGAAACGGGAACAGTGACTTTCGTCGCGGTCGAGAAGTATATAATGGCCCATTGTACTGAACGAACCTTGACGAGATAAGCGGGAAGCTATCTCTTTGTCAATGGTCGAAGATGAAAGAAAAACATATTGCGAATTCCCTTGGTCGCTTTGGAGCGCGCCGGGGTTAGTAGACCAGATCGGAGATGGATCACGCCATTCGAACGGAGTCGCTCCGTTCGTGGAACGTGGAACGTGACCAGTCCTGCCGAGATCGCCAGATGCCTTCCCGTCATTCACCTCTCCGCGGATTCCATGTAAAAATGTCCCTCGAGACGAAACGTACATCGAGTCAAAATGTCCAATGTCGGACGTTCTGACACTATGGACATTTCGTCTCGATTGGCATTTTGACCGGGACGGACATTTTGATTCTATTGGGCGTTTCGTCCCTATGAACATTTCGACCCGTTAGACAGTTTGACTGCTATTCGAACACTTGTACTGATACCAACTTGTATACATATGTAGTATATATAGACACGCGTTCTCGCACAAACGATCATAATCTGCACGATTTCGCAAACCTGAATAACTTTTCAATTTTGTGACAAACCACATTTTCCTGTGTCGGATGTTTAGGAGAGAACAGCCTTTTTTTTTTGAAAAGGAAACATTACGGCCCGCTCAACCTCCGCCAAAACGTGCCCAATGGCTGGAACAATATGCCGAATGTTAAATTTGGAACATGAATGAGCTAGCTTCACATAATGACCACTGCGGCTGAAACGCCCAAGATATAGATCGAGAACAAACGGAACGCTGTTGCCTTAAGCAATGTTGCACTTCACCACACCACAAGGTCCCCGGACACAACAGGGCACAGTGAAGCTTAAATTGAACCCAGCGGAGCGGAGGGGGTGGGGCGATCGTTGAGACAATTCGTAAAAGGACAACTCGCAGCAGGGCTATTGGTCACAGGGGACTTCGTCATAGGTAGGACAGATTGTCACTGGGCCAACTGGTCATACACCGGAAGAACAGTGGCATGGAACGCGGAAGGGGGAAAAGCGAAAAGTTTCAATGACAACTTAATGTTTCGCACTCTGTAGTTTCGGAGCTCTCAGTCACTTTTGTTTTCTGGGTTCCGAGAGAATCCTGTTTAGTAATATTTTTGTCGGGTTTCCAACTTTGTCGGGTTTGTCGGGACTCGGTGGACAATTCGACCCGACTGCACATTTCGTCACGATGGATATTTTGACACGCGTCTCATGTGACCTGTTGGACATTTTGACCCGATGGACATTACGTCACGATGAACACTTTGGCCAGGAGCCCTTCCCGCGGTCCGCATCTCAAAGCAGATGTTTTCACAATAGCGGCGCTAACAACAGGTTTTTCGGATTTATCCGAAAGCAATGAACCCTGCTATAACACGGCAGCCTTGGCCCCTCCGTACCCCTAGCGCCACATAGCTGACGCACTCTGAAACACCATACGCACCCCACCTACATTATGCGGCGGAATTTCTCTTCAAGATTGCAACCACACTGCACCCTTGTCGTCTGCTAGGCGCAAAGCAGATGCCGCCACAGCCTTGCTGATGCTTGCCTCGCAGGCTTTTGTGAGGGCCTCTTAATTGTTAAATTGTTTTCTGGACGTTTCGGTCAAACATTTTGCAGAGAGATGTCCGCAGAACGGGAATTAAGGTTATGGAAATTTAATTGAACTAACTTGAGCAAAAGGTTGGACATGAAGAACTTGAAATTCCCACCTACGGCGTCCATCTGCTAACGAAAGGAGCCTTTCGTTAGAAGTTTTTTTTTTTTTTTTATTTCGATCTTTTTATTCGGGTAAGTTTGTTCAGTGAAATTTTGATAACCTTACTGCAAGTTCTTCGGCAATCTCTGTAAAAAATTGTAGCTCGCCTCCACAAACCGATCTATGCGTTCCCTTCAAACGGCCATCGATTCCTTTGGTTCGAACTGTATATCAGATTGGCCTTACCTTGCCGGAGTACGAACGCACAGACGACGAATGCCGCAAGCCCAATAATGGCGCCCGGAATTTTCATGGCTTGAAGCTTGGAAGACCTACCGGGTTCTAGCACAGCTGCGACTCGACGTCGGCGTCCGGTCGTGTGTAGTCTGGCCCCAGATAACGGGGCGAGATAAGAACCGTCGCGTTGAAGATCCTTATCTTTTAGGGGCGAGTAAACCTGCGACCCGCAGCCGCGTATGACGAAGCCCAAAACGAGAGAATGAGGGCTTCAGACTATGGAAATAAGATTTTTGAATCAATAAAACATTTTTTTTTTGTTTAGGCAGATATTTAGGGTGTTTCTGCGAATATTCCCACAAAATCCTACAAATAGAAAGTTTGAAGAAAAAGGCTCTTTTTGAAAACAAATTGACAGCCACGGCGGACGTCAGGGATTGCAAAAGAAGCATTGATAAACAAGCTAATTGCCTAGGATGGACGGACAGACTTTTTACTAGTGAGAAGAGACATATGACTTCCATCACAAACTTGCTGAGCCTCTTTGAAAACCCTTGAATCCGTCAAGTTTAAGAAAGTTTAAGAAGAATTCAAGCCCGCTTGAAGCGTGAAGATGCCCTAAAATTTCCCCTCGTTCACAGGCTGGCGATGAAGAAACACGGATGATAAAATAATTATTCGTGTTTTCGCAACACAAGTTTTCCGCCTGCTGCACGTTTATTGCAGCTAAGGTGCAATACATCTGGGAAGAACGTGTACACTATGCAATTAATTCTTCCCAACATTGACTTATTTTGTGGTTTTCAATGACGCTCAGCAGGTTTCTAATTATATCCGTGTGTTCATTTTCACCGATTAAAAAGAGTAATTAGTACATTTCAAATAATTATTTTCTAAAGGGCTGCGCGGAACGAATTATAAAATCTTTCTACGGACCGTTTTCGCCTGACGGCAGCCATGTTGAAATATAACGTAGTTAGGTTGGGCGACAAAATCTAAAGTAAAAAAGTTAACCATAATTAATATAAAAAGTATAGAAAAAAAAACTATTAGCACGAATCTCTCGAATTCTAGCGTCTTCCAATCCGCAAATAAAGTGATTTGCTTCTTTTCCCCAACTCAGTCACGTAAAAATTCAACATGGCAACCGCCACGAAAAAAAAAAAAAAAACCCAAAAAAACGATTATTTAGACAACGAGGCCGTGCTGCTGGATGTGTGACGTCACGTGTTGGAGGCCAGCGCGGGACGCGAATTGAACACGAGTGCCGCGTCAGTGTTCCGGCTGCGACTCGAATCCTCACTCAACGGAGCCCTGGACTAAGGGCACCGACCAGAGACCGCAAGGTCCTTTCACTTTATCGATTAATTAAGTTTACGATGATGATGATGAACGCGTCTTAGCCGAACGCTCAGGCAGCACTGTTGCACAATCCCTGTCACGAGCTGGCCTCCAACGGGTGACGTCGCAAATCCATGACCAAGCCATTGTTGTCTAGGGGGCCGTGTGCTCCTCCTCACTCCGTACAGTGTACCACATGACACTGAAGACAGCGAGTGAGAGAGAAGGAAAGTGAGGAGTGGAAAGACGCCCCGATACCCGGACGCGTGCACCGACTTCACGTAAAAATTGTGTCGCAAATTGCTAGGCAATTGCGTTACACGTGCAACGCTCAGGTACCGCTCCGAAACGTTATCGAGTACGGCGTCTACGCTCACGGCGCCCTTCATCGCGATAGCTTAGCACGCGGCATATAATAAACTTGACAGCAGTTCCTGGAATGAAGATACTAGCGCTAGTCGGGTTTTAAGGCCTTGGCGGTTTTCCAGAACCTCCCCATTCTTCCCGGAATCAGATAGTCAGCGTTATGCTTTTGATTTGTATAGGAACAGCATGTCCGGCGAGATGCTTACTGGTTATTGCTGTGTTCACCAACATTACGAGATGCTGTCTGTTTTGATAGGCCATAGTGTTATCGCAGTTTGTTATTGTCCGCCGGCTAGTAATTTTACGACTTTTCTTGCTCGCCTAGAATCTTTTCTTGAGTTAGCAAATGAAAATAAATACAATATAATCCTAGGGGGCGACCTCAATATAAACGTGCTACTTGAAACGTCGGATAAAAGACAGAGGGATATGGTAATTAAAGCAAACGGATGTATGAATACGATATCTTTGGTTACTAGGATCACTACTGGATCTTCCACACTACTCGATTTGTTCATTAGGAGCTTTGCAACATCACAAACTAAATCTGGCGTAGTAAGAACTGACATAAGGGACTACTTTGGTATACTTTTGTGTGTAAAGATAAACAAAAATAAAAGACAGAATAAACCAACGGTGGTAAAGTTTCAGATTGAATATAGCGCAAGATAGCCTGGATGACTTTAGATGAAAACTTCCTTCCATGGACTGGAGCGACGTCCTTCACGAAACGGATCCAGATAAAGCGTACACTATGTTCTTCAATGAATTTCAAAAACTCTATGTAAGCTGTTTTTCATATAAATAAAAAAGTGCTTCTAGGAAAATTGGCAAATCATGGGTTACGAAGAAATTACTTGAAAAAATTCGTATAAAAAGAGCGCTATATCAAAAAATCTTGAAAACAAAGGAGATAGAAAAACTTTCTATCTTCAAACGTTATCGCAACCAGTTAAACAGAGAACTTCGAAACGCTCGAGAAACATATTTTGTTGATTTCATTTCAACGTGTGATAATAGAACCGATATTATAAGGAAAAAGCTAAACTCTGTTTTAAATCGTACATGTACCCCGAAACAAGTAGAAACGATAAAATGCGATGGTGAGGAATTGACAGGAAAATCATTAGCGAATGTATTCAATGAGTATTTCGTGAGTTTATCTAAAGACACCCCAGACTCAGATGCTTGGAAGTTTATACATTTTCGAAATTGTGCATCCATGTTCCTTAGTCCCGTTACTGATATAGAGGTAATATCCCTCTTCAGTGCATTAAAAAAACAGTAAAAGTTGTGACGCCGACGGTTTACACGTGAAGCCTGTAAAGTATGTAATAGATACTATTTCCCCTAGCCTGACTCATATTCAACCTCCCCTTGCAAATGGTGTGTTCCCCAAGCGAATGCAACTGGCAAAAGTACGGTTTTATTTAAGAAAGATAATAAAGATGAAATAGGGAATTATAAACCGGTTTCAATTTTGCCAGTGTTTTCAAAAGGCCTGGAAAAAAGTTTACTACTTTAAATGACTTCATTTGCAAATAATCCTAATATAGCAAGTTCATTTCAATTTGCCTTCCGCAGACAGCGGTACACTGTACTTGCTGTTCTTGCACAGAAAAAAAATATAATCTCAAGAACTTTGAAAATAAAAAAAAAAAACGAACTCTCAGTTTATTTAATGACTTTACGAAAGCCTTTGACCATCTTGATCACAATTTGATATTTAAAAAAAAAAACGGAAATGTATGAATTCCGTGGTCAATTGTTATTACTTATAAATTCATATGTGTCTTCCCATACACATTAATGGTTATTTATCGGCAATAAAATCCATTCAGTCAGGCGTTCCCCAGGAAAGCACGTGTGGCCCTTTCTTATTCAACCTTTACGTAAATGACATTGTAAATGTCAGCCAATCAACGAAGTTTATTATTCATGCTGAAGACACTAGTTTAGTTTTTACTGGTGATACCGCCTCAGATCTCGCATAGATACCGTGAATGATACGCTAGAAAAAATAGCGAGATGGAGTAAATGTAACGCTTTAAAAATAAACATAAATAAGACTAAGGCAGTTCTATTTCGCCCAAAGAATAAAGATGTTGACATAAACAAGACCATTTGTTAAAACTTTTCTAGAATTGAGTTAGTCGCTTCTTTTAGAACATTGGGTATTTTTTTCTCAGAGACAATGTCATGGGACTATCACGTTAATTACATTAAATCCAAATTGTCCACCATTGTTAGCTTGATATATCGTAATGAACACATATTTCCACTTCAGGTAAAGTTGTTTATATAATTTATTATTTTATTCCGATATAAACTATAGTCATCTAGTATGGGGCATAACTACTTTTACTAACTGGAAAAAAATATTCATTTTGCAAGAAAAAAGGTACTAACAAGTGTTGCGTTTAATTTATTACTAAGAAGTATTACATTTAATTGCATTATAATTACTAAGAAGTAATTGCGAAGTCCCACTCGCATATCCAACGGATTCACTTTTACTCAAGTAGGTGTAATTAAAATTTTTGATTTGTCTAGATATCGCCTCTGCGCAAAATATATGACTGAAAAAAACAAAAAAAAACATGGATGTACATCATCTTGAACATTTAGCGAATCTGACACAAAAAGTACACTCGTACCAAACGCGCATTCCGCAACCCTGGCAAGTGCCTCTTTAGAACGAATTACGGCCATTATACCACAGCACACAGGCTACCGACCATCAACCACCTTCATATGCACAACATAGAACTTGACACGCTATCGGTGGGTACCTTGCGGGACATGATACTCTCTGGGCAGCAAAGTGGAAAGATGGGCCAGTTGGTTTATGGTTCTTTAAATAAATAAAAGCGCCAAAAAGACAAGGACAAAGAAGTGGAACGACACAAGGCGCGTCAAATCAGGCACGATTGAACGGTGCCTTCGTGTGTTTTTTTGTTGTTGTTGTTGTTGTTGTTTTTTTTGTAGAGGAGGATATGCTTGTTTTGAGTATTGCACAATTAATTAACGTACAGTATTTTTTCTGGGTTTTCCTTGAATGTTGTAAGGCAGTGCTCTTTTTTGTCTTGCCTTAAATATTGTACGCCGGAAACTTTGTTATAGTGCCTTGAACGATGTATGCAAGTGACTTTTGCTATAGTGTCCGCTTATTTTCTTCAGTATCATATGTCTCTTTGCCGACTGTTCAACCTCTTTTTTGGTTAGTGTTCTCAGTGTATTTCCTTTTTTCCGTGGACGCTGCTTGTGGCTGCTGAAGTTATAGGGGCTTAGGAATAGTCAAGCCGTATCAACAGCTGTTTTCCAAAGCCCCCCCCCAACACTGCACCTTTTGTTGGAAATAAACCTATTATTATTAATATTATTATTACTATTATTATTATTATCACGCGACCTTTCCGCCAGCCAATGAGCGTCGAGCCTCGCCTCCCGTACACGAGCGTTGCCTTCCACCATGCTTGATTGAGCTGCGCCCTCGACTAAGTGTTGTCAAGGGCAAAAAAGCTCGAATGGAGCCAGAGGTGCTACTGCACTGACTTCAGTCCCATCCTTCATCACAAGTTGGCTTTAATGCTACCCAAGACGCGACCGCGAGTGTGTGATTTTCGAAAGTACTTTTTTATGGGCGAGTGTTTGCGCATGCAAAGTATTCTGCAGTCAGAGGTGTGTCCTCGTATGATCCCCATCCGTAACGTCACGGCCAGAATTTTCCTCGCCGTGCTGACACTGTTTGTGATCCCTTATGGTCATTTGGGGGCGACATTTTTAATGGTACGTATGCGTGGAGGAAATCGAAAATGAAACTGCAGATAAAGATTTCCCTCCCCAGAAGTTTCACATTTTATTTTATTCGAGGACAGCTCCAATTCTGTTCTTTCTTTTTTTAAATTGTCTTGGATTTTCATTAAACCATCTTGGAGGTTAATTTTTTAGGTTAATTGGTATTTATCATTTAAAAAAAACCGAAACCTAGTTAAAATTCAAGTTCCGTGTTTTCGGTGAATACCGAAGAAACCCGCAAACTCGGGGTTCATAGGCCTCACGAGAACTCGGGGAGGCGGTCTTATCAAGATCGGGCTGAACCGACCCCCAAATTGCTTAAATGGAAAAAAAAAAAAAGAAAAACTTTCTGGGGAAAAAAATTTCTATCTACAGCTTTTTCTTTTTAATTTTGTTTGTTTGTTTTCTTGACCCGGGACACAGCTCCCATTGAACTGACAGCGCGAGGTTGGTCCTTCCTTCTGTTCTGAACTACACACCTTATCTCGTATCCATCTCGACGTATCCATCCACCTGGACATTTTCCAAGTAATTGGCTCACCCGTATGTTCTCCGGAAGTTGGGGAATTCCATGCACATGTTGTTTATTTTCAGACAAAACTCCTCATAAGCTCCGTTTTTTTTTTTTTATATATATATGTATATATTTTTGTCCGAAACAAAAACAATTATATCGACAAACACCGAATTCATAGGTAAAATATATCTCCCCTCCCTGAATTTGGGAAAACAACAAAGATAACCCCCCTCCCCCCCCCCCCCCCCCCCCCCTGAACAAACTTCACCTTTCGCAAGAAAGGTTTTCCATGCTATTGCTAATATATTGTCATCACACTGAAAACATTTTTTATTTAATATAAATCTCATTCACATCGTTTATCAATACAGGCTTTTTGTCACCTACATGAAGTTTTTTTGACAAGTGAAAATAGAATTTTTTAGAAAGCTCAGTAACGTTAGCATATTTACTTCTTCGTACAAACTATGTCCAAACAAAAATTTAAAAAAGGCTCGTTACACATTTGCGCACATTGTATTTTACGTAGTATGACGTATCAAATGAGTTATGTGTTAATGGCTCGAATATTAATGCATTGACGCAGGCGGAGGTACTTGCATATTATTACTTTTATGTTGTTTTTCAAACAGTAGACTAAAGTATGGTATCTTCACACTGCTCCGCCTTGAATGCTACATTTTTTTTTTATCTCTGTTGTATTTTGTGTGCTTTCGTTAAAGTGACCTGCCGTATGTTTCATTTCATCGTTGTACTATTTTTTTTTGGGGGTATATTATTGCTCGTTGGATTTCGCCTGTTGTAAAAGGGGTCCGAACACTCGTCGAGCTGCCCTTGCAGTTATTTGTTCCGAGTCCCCCGTTTCTAATATGAAACAAATAAAGACATTATTCTATTATTATAACCACACCCTGTTGTAGCATAAGAAAAGCAGAACAAGCTGCTTCCCCACGAAGCCCTCCCCTCTTTCCACTCTGAACGCAGAGGAGGCGAGTTCCCGCTCGCCTCTTCCCCAGCGTTTGCTCTTCTAAAGGGGAAAGAGTGGAGGAATTTGGATGTGTGTGTGGTTGCCGGGGGGGGGGGGGGGGGGGGGGGGGGGGGGAGAGAAGCTTATCCTAGGGCATAGCTTCCTCTATACTCACAAAGCCTGGCAGTTCAACGGCGGAGCCACAGAGTGCCCGGTTGCAGACTTGGAGCGCGAGGATCTGGTAGCACAGAGCATCAAAGAGCCATTTCTCGGGCAACCTAAACATCAGCGCACAGGTTTTGCAGCGGCGAGGACCCGAAACACACTTATTCGCTCTGGAGAAGTGCGTTTCGGCGTCTCGCGGTAGCGAGACGCCGAAACCACGTAACCCTGGAGCCTTCCAGTCATAGACGCCAAAATTCTCGGCGACTTTTTCGCCAAGTGCTCAGAGTAGGGCCAAGGGTCTTTTTGTTGCAACTTAGTTTGCAGCGAGAAATGGGGGGAGAGCAGGAGACGAGAGGGGAAGACCGAACGCCAAGCTCGGGTTCGAATGATTAGTGGGTAGGATTGAAGCCTTTGTCTCCACTGCACTCACCGAACGCGTTATAGAACGCGAAACGCCAGCGTCCGGCGTTTGGCTTTCACATTCGAGCGCGTTCGGCGAGTGAAGTGGAGACAAAGACAGCCGTTGTCTTCACTGCATTCGTCGAACGCAGTGTTCCGGCACCCGGCATTCGTCGAACTTCGGCAACGTCCCGGTACCGGTAAGTGATAGAGAAATGAATGTGTGTGGCCCCGAAGAGTGGCGAAGAAAGGAGACAGTTGCAGAAGCTTGCGTAGTTTTTATTCGAGGACAGCTCTAATTCTGGGAATTTCACGTCATGATGGCGCTTAAGACGAGGACAAAAGGGAGACTAGACAACACGGAGCGCACCGTGTTGTCTAGTCTCCCTTTTGTCCTCTTCTTAAGCGCAATCATGACGTCAAATTCCCAGTACCAACTAGCCCAACAATATGCATCTAATTCAGGGTTGTTCGGTTTTGCACGGTTTTAATAAAAACCCTGTCGGGGGTTATTTACCGGGGTTTATTGGAATCTACCGAAAACACAGAACCCTAGTCACAATCAACGAGGGGAAACTTGGAGTTAGAAAGGTATTTACGGTCCCGTATTCATTTTGCTTTAATAGAAATCTGAAGACTAAACAAAGGAGTCCCCGCGCGGAGTAACGGACTTTATATTCCCTCGGTGAATTTAGAGCGCCCCAAAAGAGCTCGCACCTTTAGTGCGGTAGACGCAAGTGCGCGCTCGCACAACCAAGAAGACACAAACAAAACAAATTATGCCACAGTAGCTCTTGTCGCTACGCTGAATCTCGACGAAACGCGTATAGCGTTTCGTGCAGGGGTTCTAACCCGGCGAAAGATGGCGCATCCCACCTCGCAACGGCCCGCAAACCGTGGTGCTCGGGAATTTGGTCAGTCCTCCCAGGCGTCAGCGGTTTCAAACGCAGCCACCACAACTCACCTTGATCGCCGCCAACGGTTCCTCTATTGTCTTAGAAGAGCCAATTTTTTTTTTCTCCAGGGTGTCGGCGGTTTCGCGCAGCCGCAAACCGCGTCGTCTCTGGGCCTCGGTACGCTGTCGCGTATACGTTGTGCCATGGCCGCTCGGTCCACACCTCTTCGCGGCGCGTTCTTGGAAGAGTGCGAGGCGACTGTTTCCCTATACGTAAGCGGGAAAGTGGACGTAACCAGGGAACGAATGGAGCGAAAGAGCACTGCGGGAACTGCACCGCGGCTTCGCGAAACCAGTCCAGTTATAATGGCGACCATCCAAACCAAAGACGGCTGTAAGCACCCAGGCAATATAAGCTGACGCGCTCCAAGACCGCTCCCAATTCACCGAGGGAATTTCCCCACGAGCCATTCAGAGGAGCCTGTGCGCCGCCAGCGGGACGAGCACCAGCGCCACTACTCCGAGGGAAGAGCCGGGAGCTGGCACCCCGTTGACGTCTTTGCTCCAGGCGTCCTGGAAGGCGGCGAGCAGCTTCTCGGCGACCTCCTTGCCTGGCTTGGCCGACTCGGGACACGTTCCCTGGGGCACCAGGCAGGTCCGCGTGGCCTCGACGGCGGCACTGGAGGAAGTGGAAGAAGGCGAAGACGCGCGCCGAGGTGTAAAGAACAGTAAGGATCGTCTCGAAAGTTCGGCAGGTAAAACAACGTTCTGCGGCTCGTCGCTCGGGCGAAATGATTACGCGACAGCCGCCGACGAAGCGAGGGCAGGGCGTCTCTTTGGAACGCCCGACCTGCATCGCGCACCAGTTGCCTTCCGCAGTGCTTTGGATGCGCGTATGCAAACTCGAGGCTCGCGAGATGCGTCACCGAAGGCTGCGTGAGAGCGCCCGCTGGCGGCGAAAAACCTAGCTAAGAGAACAGGCGACATGCGAGACCAAAAGCGTCGCTGTGGTCAGCCTTCTACGATTGGCGAACCTTACGGTCAAAGTTACTCGATTAATAGACCGATCTCACCAAGCGTTCGGCGCATGCGTGATGCCGCCATAACTTTAGTTCGCAGGAGGCAGCTGGCAGTGCACGAGACAGCTGGTTCAGTCTTACGCCCTGCACGCGCTGAGCTCTAGCATGGTCATCCCACGTGCGAAAATACTGAAGTTCCCTGGATGCATTGCGGCAGTGGTGGCGTAGCCAAACTGGCTGGTGAGATCGGTCTATTCTAATTTCGTTAATGAAAATACGAGGAATGTCAGAACGTCAACTTCGACGGTGTTGGTTTGAAAACGCGATGATACAACCGTCCACCGTGCTTCGTGCAGGCACCTTCGAAATTGTCGCTGGCAATCCCTAACTCTGGTCCCGACTTCACAGACGGGAGTCGCAAGACAACCGGAACATGCTGACAAATTTTAGGGAGCACAGAATGTGTTGTGAATGAGCAGGACACATGATGCTGTGTGTGTGTGTGTGTCGTTATGTGACGTCACAAAATGACCTCGTGACTTCACCCGACTCACGTCACATCATGTCATGGTGTTACGTGACATCATGCTGTCACATTGCGGCCATCACAGCGTCTACATGGCGTTTCACCGTGCCCTGTAAAATACGCAGTTTTGAAACAAAAAATACCAGCCTTTCAACTCTTGTGAAAAAGGAAGAGCAGCGGAGCTGTACTACGTGCTGCCATCTATGAGCCACGGTGGCAAACAGACAACCGGCAAGCAGGTGTCTGGTTGCCGCCGTCGCTCATAGATGGCAGTAGCTGTCCAGAGCGTTGTGTCTAGCTTTATTTGTCCACGGACACGAAACTGGAGAAACTAGCCCTTAACAGCTCCGCTGTAGAAATCTAGATGACGCTTCGACCGACGGGAGGCGGACTGAAGGGGATCAGTGGGTACCCCTCCGCCGTTGTTAAACAACCGAGCTAATCTGGTAACGTTGATTACGATCAACAGTACTCGATTAGTTCAGTTACGGAACCGCCCATAAACGCTGCTTCCACAAGGACCACCCCCCCCCCCCCCCCCCCCCCCGTCCTATCTCCTGTCATTCGACGCACAACCGTTTTGGGGGATGGCTGCCACGGTAACCAGTGTATTCCTTGGAGCAGTGGTTCTCAACCACCAATGTTTCGCGGACCCCTTGTGGATCGGCGAGGGGTGAGGACAGGGGGAAGGTATAGGGTAAATATAATAATAATTGAATAACTGGATTTAAGTGTAAAGTAGACCTTTCTTTTTGACATGCACACGAGGAAACTCGCCCAAAAACTGAAATATTTCTTCTCGACCTGGAAAAAAAAAACTATTATGGACCGGGCTTGATTGATGAACACGGACCCCTAGAATGTCTTCGCGGACCCTGAAGGGTCCGCGGACCCCCATTTGAGAACCACTGCCTTGGAGAATGTAAAGGTGCGGCCGTAAGGACTAACAAATTTGGCACGCCTCGCAAAATTCAAATTCCAAACGTACATACCTGAATTTGGGCACCCGAATATACCTTCGTAAGAAGTGGCCTATATTTTTTCAGAGCTCAAGTCAGATGTGGTAAAATATTAAAAGTCAAGCAAAAACGGCGGCCTTGCTTTTCCTATGCCCTATGCCGGATGCTTGTCGTCTGCACACTGGGTTATGAGCTTGCTTCCTGATGGTCATTGTTCCTATATTTCGTTAGAAGTATTAATTATCACGATTATCTTGCTCAACCCCAGTCTCTGCTGTTGGTTTTTACCTTTTTCGAGTTCAGCAAGCCACCAGGGAGCGAGCTCATAAACCACTCTGGAGACGAGGAACATGCTGATATACATGGCCTCCGATTCTGGTTAAAAAGCGAAAACTGAGACACTCACGAAATAAGTACCATGTACGACAATGAAGGCTGCTAATTTACAACAGATTTTATTAAGAAACATTCACTCAGCCACTTCCTCGTTCACCGCGTACTTATAACCAAGCCATAAACCGATAAGAAATCGGCAATCTTACATGAAGCCATCTAAAAGAGGCATTTCCTTATTCGGCAGAATAAACAACGGCATTCTTACACACTTTTCAACCGCGTTCTTGAGAAAGTTTCAACGATTTCTGCCTCCGTCCTTTCAATCGTTGTTTTTCGAAACTTCGACGAAGCTAGAAGTGGTTCACAACCGCAACGCGTACAATGTTTTTAAATGATATGAACCGACTAGACCCAAGCAGTTTTTATTGTTCCGATTTTTCTTGATTCTCAATATTTCACTATACGTCAAAATTCGGCTCTAAAGAATAGATGAAAACTTTTGGCGAAACTATGTTCGCGTTCCGAATTTCGGGTATGTGCGTTTGGAATTCGAATTTTGCGAGGTGGGCATAATGTGTAATTAGTCCTTGCGGTTGCACCTTGTATATTTCAAAGCACAGCATGTAGATGGCGTTTCACGGGATTTTATGATAGAGTTCCTAGACAAGAGCTTCGAACAAATAGCGACCTTCTTTGAAGCGCCGACTGCGTGACGGTGCAGGTCTTAGAAAGCGAATGGCGGCGCACAGCAGACGACTGAACTGAGTGACGCCATTTTTATTCCGGAATGTGCTTTGACATTTGTATTGGTTGTCGTTACTTGTTAAAAGAAGTATCACTGAAAGTCTTTATTTTATGGAGCACACAGTTTTGAAACGAAAATCAAAGTGGCGCCTCTAACGAAGGGAGGCGGATTTAAGAGAGAGGGGGGTGGGGGGGGGGGGGGGGGGGAATATTCCCTTTTGGGGGATTTCTACAACTAAGGTAATGTTGTAACACTGATTACGGCACAGATTAACGTGACCTGTGACGTCCCGGACGTCAGGTGTCACACCTGGCAGCCAAATCATGAAGTTGTAAAAGGTGAAAACAAAAAGGTTTCGGTGGGCCGATAAAAGCTTCATTGAACTTACTCGGTAAGTTCCTTGATGCCAGCCTTCGACGTCTTCAGGGGCACGGAGAAGAAATTCAGGATAATTTTGGACACGCAGGCCTTGAAACGCTCGCCGTCGTAGCACTTGAAAGCTCTAATCAGCTCTGAAATTGAACATTAGCCTGCGTCACTTAAATCACTGCACTCGGTAGACTACGGCCGTGGACAACTTTATGTGGCCTTTTCGACGAGAGAAGTGCGCGTGCACAGCTTGAATCGGCGTTCATGTACGTGCACACGCACCTCTGACTACATAGCCGCATTAGGAAGTTCTAGAATAGGGGTTCACCAAGGTTTGGGGGCCGCTAGGCCGTATGGGGGAACTGAGCGCAGCGATAGTCGCCGTGACATGCTTGCGCTTCTCGCTTACAGCGTCGATACGGCTGTCAACCAAAATTAATAAAGCGAACAATTAAAAAAAAAACGTATGTACATATACGCTTAACACTTTGTGTTGCTCGTGCCACAAATATTGGGTAAAGTGAAAGCAAATCTACTTTTTTTTAAATCATTCAATGTTAGGAGAAAGGGAGAGAGATAAGTTCCTTATTATGTTAGGATGTTTCAAGTCAAAAACATACCAATACGATTCACACACACACACACACACATATATATATAAACTAACGGTGATAAAAAGTGCACGTGATATATATATATATATATATATAAAACTGAGAAGAAAAAAACCCTTAGTGAAAAACAGCAACAACGGACGATTTAATCTTCGACGTTTCGAAGATTAAATCGTCCGTTGTTGTTGTTTTTCACTAAGGGTTTTTTTTTCTTCTCAGTTTTATACCCACGCCTTCGGCCTCCCGCCACCATGCCCGTTATATATATATATGTATATATATATATATAGAGAGAGAGAGAGAGATAGAGAGAGAGAGAGAGAAACAACGATGATTTGGCCGAATCTTCAAAACATACCGAAACACACCGAATTCGTGGGAAAGATAAACCCCGAAAAATACTGTAAAAGGGTTGATAACTGGGCCAGTTGGTAATTAAACGTTTGAACGGTATTAGCGCACACGTATGGAGAAGAGAGAAGAGACAGGAAAGAGCGCTACTCACAACTATATTTACAAAGATGAAGAGAAGGAAGAACCTCGTCAAGATCCCTATAAAGATGACAAAAGAAAGAAAAAGAAACAGAAATATAAAACACTTAGTAGGGTGTTCCCTCGCGGGCACATGCTTGAGACACTAGTTCTTTGTTTAAACACCAAATCCGTTGTTGGCCTTTACGTTACCGTGGTGCAGGGTGTATTTGCATCAGTCTTGGCTCGCGCGGGGTCACCTTGTCAGAGAGGAAGAGGAACACCTCATCCGTGGTCGGCTGTCACTTTGTCATCGTGCCTGATGTCTCGCGGGCACCGTGACTCATGCAGGGTCTTCATTGTGCGTAATAAAAAGTCTATTTCCTTGCTTGTTAAGGCTACCGATTCAACACTTATGGATTTATTAGCGGCGGACATGATGTGGTAGGCTTCCACAACCTCGCGGGTCAATTTATGTTTGAGCCTCTCTAGGATTCTTGTTTCCCCGAAAAATACGCGTCCCAAATTGGAAGAAACATAAACCACAAAAACACGGAACCCTAGACGCAACACCAGACATATGCGCATTACTGAGATGAAGACTAAATACCGTTACCCATTACTCACTCCAAAATTAACGAAGTACGTAACTCGTCGCTGCAGTTACAAAGGTAGCGCGTTACCTCAGCTTGAAAGTAACCCGTTACGTTCTCGTTGCTCCGAGTACGTCACTTTTATGAAGCAGTAACCGCTTCCAGTATTGCTCGTCATTAATAATTCATTGCATTTAAAGGCGTTCATTCGGGGATAACTGTGACTGTACTAACAGGACACCTTTTCTATGGTGTATGCAGCGTGTTTTCGTGTTGGAAATTACAGGCGGCAGCTGGGGGTGAGAAATAGGTAAATACATAACTCGTTCATTTCTCTGAAAAAGTACTTATAGTCGGTGGCAGTTCAAGGGTTCAGGAGAAGCTCCTCCCAGCTCTTTCACTTCAGCAGAGCGAACGCTGGAGAGGCCGTCAACTCCTCTCCAGCGTCCGCTCTGCTAGGGTAGGAAGAGGCGGAAAAGCTTCCCACGAACTCTTAAACTGTCACCGACTATAGGTCGTTGCTGAGTTACCAAAAAAAGTAACTACGTAGAAGTAACGCGTTACGCACAGGTCTGAACGCAAACAAACCAAAGAAGCGAGTGAACGGATGCAAAAAAATTTCAAAGCCTTAATTATCTTTGTGTTTGTGTGTGTGTGTGTGTGTGTGAACAGCAAGGACTAAAACAAAGCACCACCACAATCACACAACCAAGAGAGCTCCGACTGTTTTCGCTGCTCCTAGATGGCTCGACGCTTCACTCAAATCGAATCGACTTGGCCAGCCTCACTGCCAGTTGTAATAAATTGCAAACATAAAATAATCATTACTACATATAAAAACAAATTAAAAACGAGCAATTCATTAAATAAAAAAAATGCAATTTATCAAGATAGCGGTGTTTATGCAAGGTTGCTAACAATCGCTTTATGAAACTTTATTTTCCGCGAGCTTCAGCGTCTGAAAGAATCGCTATTGTTGCTGCGCCGTTAGCCGTTGTGGCTCTCTAATATCTAGGGGATTGCAAATGCTAAGGAAACAGGAAGGCTCGGCTGCGATATGTATAGCGAAGCTCGTAGAGGATTGACCCCGTAAGTGATGACGTCACAACATGGCGTCTGGGTCCAAACAAACCGTTGCTAGGTGCGTTGCTATGGGCTAATGCATGGAGACTCCACCTGAGGCTAGACATTTGCTTACAAGTAAGTAAATAAGTTTTTGTAAGCAACCTAACTTCTTGATATCTAATTACGAAGATGTTCGTGTCGTCTCAGTGTCGTATTGCAACGATGAAAGCCATTTCAGAAGTATTTAACTCAGTTTTGCTTTGGTAGCAGACGACACGATAGGTTCGCTGGCCTCTGTTCCAGCGGGCGTCTTCATTGAATTGCGTCGGTAAACGAGCGATAAAAACAAGTGCATCGATCGCCATGGCCGTACAGGCATCCGCAATGTACGTTTTTTTCTGTGAAGAACCCAGCTTAGTTCAGAGGGATGAAAATGCCGTAAAATCAAACCACGCCATGCAGATCAGTTACGACGACGAGCTGAAGTGCATTACCTGCGTAGTGCAGGCCGGCATGAGAAGCAAATCGTACGCCGTCGAGGTAAGTCGTTTGTTATTATTATAATTGAGGCTGTCAGGTTATTAAAGAATTTCATGTCTATCGCCATTTCGCAGTATCTTTTTTTCCTTGGTGTACATCAAATTGTGTGGATGTGCTCTTTTGGTGAAGATCTCTATCGAACCCCCGATGCGAGTACAATCTGTAATAAAGTCACCCTATGTTTTTTGTTTTTTTATTCAGTTATTTTGTGCTTTGGGGTCTTGCGGGACTCTGAAGGAACAGCAAGAATCTTTCTCCACGCGATGGTTACAACCAGGTACGAAGCACCCTCCCGTAGCCGAGTCCGCGAACAAAATTTGGGATCTAGACCGAACGCCTGAAGTGCTTTTCTCACGGGTGCAATGCGATCTTTTAGCAGCCGATCAAATCAATCGACTTCAGGACTTTCAATAAACCATATTTTGCGTCGCACCCCGCTATGAATTCTTATAAGCGTCTGAAACTCGTTATATTTCAAACTTATGCAATATCAGGATGTCGTCTTTATCTACACGATTCAGACGCCGGCGCTGGCTTGGCCGGCGGGCGTGTGGCAGACGGCATACTTCTGCATCCGTCGTCTGCTGCAGTCATCTTGAGGACCGGAAGTTGCAGTCGTAAATATGGCAGAAACAAGCGATTACCGCCACACTTATGTCGAAACATATATGACATTCAAGCTTTCTATATCTGTGATTTTTAGGAGTTTAAATCCTACTCCCGATTTTCGAACGGTCGGATTTTCGTAGTGAAACCTAGCTACATGCATTAGTCCATAGCAACGACCCTAGCAACGGTTTGTTTGGACCCATACGTCACACTTACGGAGTCAATTGCGGATAGCGTACCAATTAAACAATCTACTAAAATCCTCTATTAGGGACGCTCTTGAGGCTAGCGAGACGCGTGTGCAGTGCTGCGGAGAGCGGGGGGCGAGAAACGGTCTACGGAAACTCCCTATTATTTGAGGCAGCATTAGGGGGTTTTCGTAGACCGCAATTCCCCTTCCGCTAAGCCTTCAGCAACGAAGAAACCGCTACTGCGCCTGCGTGCCGACGGCCTTGATTGTAGAGTTTCGGTTATTGTAGCGGGTTTCGGAGAGCATTGCGGGACGGCGAAAACGATCTACGAAAACTCCCTCATAACGTTGAGATACGGGTCACTGCGTGTCACCTAAAGAAACACAACGGGAAGTTCGAAGTGTATGAATGGAATTGTAATTAGGGAGTTTTAGTAGACCGTGTTTCCCCCTCCGCTAACCCTCCGCTACGAAGAAACCGCCACTGCGCCTGCGCGCCAATAGCCTTGGCTGAAGAGTTCCGGGTAACGGAGGGGCTTAGCGGAGGGGAAAACACGGTCTACTAAAACTCGCTATGGATTTCACCTCTACTCGTCACTTCTTTCTTACAAATAAAAGTCAAACTTTTTTTTTTCTTTTTTGTCCGTGCAACTTTTAAGAGTGATTACCTTTGAAGGAACTCTCGTGCACGATTTCTTGGCGGAACTTCTCGTAGTTCAGCCTTGCCCGAGTAAAGTATTCTTTCTCGGCCGCAGTCGCGCACTGCTCCGACGGTCCGAAGCAGTCCGGTTGGGCGGGGAGATGACTGCGAGAGAAGAAATATGTGTGCGAACGAAACATTGCATGCACGCGAACCTCCCATACTGTCGATCATTATTTTTCATTGCCACAAATTTCGTAATTTTTTTTTTTTTTTTTACGGGAACAACGCAGAAGCTTGGGTGTCCTTTCGGAAGGTGCTTGTAGGCAGGAGCAGTTCTAAATTTTACTCTCTGGGTAAATATTTTAAAGTACCTACTGTAATTTTTGTAAACTAGACTTGTAATGACTAGGCATAGTTTCGGTTTGCTTCAACTCGCTTGGTGACAATTTCAAAACTATGTACTCCTGCGAAAACGGGACATTATTCTTTATTGGGACAAAAAGACGGGACCTACCTCAAATGTCCCGGCCAAAACGGGACGTCTGGTCACCCTAGCTAAGGTCTCCTCAAAATGTTTTTCTGGTCTTTTTAAAAGTACCAAAAGTGTGCGTGCATAGCTTTTATAGGCGCTGAAGATGCGCGAGAGTGGAGATTACGAAAACTCCTTATATGACGTAACCCTCCGGTGAGAGGGGATTCAGCGGTACTTTGAAAATTATTTTCTGCAGCCTCCGTGCACCAATTTGAAAAATAACCTCGATATTCCTGATCCTGGAGGCCAAATAAAGACGATTTAGATGTTTTTACTCCAGAACCGCTTCAGTTTCCCTTCAAATCATGATATGATCACGAACGCGCCTTATATCACGACCTCGGTCTTTCAGAGGCCCGGAATAATGAGGTATTATAATTGTTATTATCATTATGATATACCCAATGAGGATGTCGATCTGACCGTCCAGAGCGCTCTCCTCTTCCTGTGCCAGGTGGGGCATGTTGTCATTCATGACATCGAACAGCTTTTTGAAGCATTTCGCAGCACCTCGAAGATCGCATTCTTCGACGGCCAAAATGCCTAAAAAAGAAATAATTTGTTTTACACACACACACACACACACACACACACACACACACACACACACACACACACACACACACACACACACATATATATATATATATATATATATATATATATATATATATATATATATAAGGTTTATAGCCAGCGCTTTTTAAACTGTTTTATATTTATACTAAATTCTCTTCCCTTTTTAACAATTTCCTCCTTTCCTCCTTCGATAACGTTGAAACCTTTGGAAGCTGGTTGTTATATTTTATATTTTGTGCCATTGTATGTTGTTGCTTAATGAAAGAAGTTCTGTTTGCGCCCCCGTCCTCGATGTTTTATACTTTCAAGTCTTCGTAGCGACACTTAACTAAAAAGAGGTCATTTGAGCAAATCGACATTTTAGCGAACATTGGTCATTTCAGCGAATGACGTTCTAGCGAACGATGTTTTAGCGAATATGCTTCTTTCGCTTTTGTTTTTACTAGAGCCGGAGATGCTTGTCTGGCTTTTCCTTCTTTTACCGCGGCGGAAAACAACGACACGGAAGTGCCTATTTTGGTTTTAATGAAACAACGTAGCAATTTATTACGAGGCAACACGGCGTGGAAGTGAAAAAGGTAACATTACAGAAATCAAGAGGTGCGCCAGAAACGAAAAGCCATTCGCTAATCCGTTATTCGCTCAAATAAGCGCCGCCATTCGCTAAAGCGTCGTTCGATCAAACGTAGGGGGCGGGGCGTCATTCGCTAAAATGTCATTCGATTAAGTGAGTGCCTCCCGCAGTAATAAATGCTCTAAAGCAAAAGCAAAAGGAATTTTACCTCGCACGCCTGTTCATCAAACCTTTCTATCGGTTATTTACATGGAATCTTTTATACCGGGAAGGCGAGCGCGTGCGGCGTGTAGTTACATTCTCAACATTCTCCTCGATCGGTAACTGCGGTTAACCCTAGGTGCAGTTAAGTGTGAATGTTTAACTAGGGTATTGGAAACGCGAATCGTCCATTTCATCGAGGGTCTCCACGCGTCAATTGGTCACATCATACCTCGGGGCCACTGGAGTGCGCAGGCGAGAAGAACAACCACGCCGAAAGCTGCCTTCATGACTGTCGGGTCCCGGGGTGCGGCTCGCGTCTGACGAATACCGCGCAGGACGCGAAAGATATCCCGCTGCGCACACGTAATATCACAGTCGAAGAAGGGCCGCTTATCGGACTGGCCTTTCGTGCCAAAAGGTCACACCTAGTGTGCCCAGATTTCAGAGTGCTTCCAATCACTCGAAAGGGGTCACGTGGTTTGCAGGCCGCGTTTGCAATAAGAGCTGCAGAGCGAGGGTTACGTAAGCGTTGATCGTCTGCGTGTGCCTCCGCCTTTTCGTCCGCTTTCCTTCTTGTCTGGAGCCAACGCAACACATGCGCACTTACGACCCATTTGCGCAGGGGGCGTTCGCCATTGAATTGAAAACGCTCCCCGCGGTTTCACTTCCTCCATCTCTTAAATCTAGGCTCTCTGGTTTCACCTGCGAGTGTCTGAAACTATGTGGCACACGCGCTTGTACGGGCACGAGCAGTGAGTGTCACTGTTGACCTAATGACAACAAATGTCGACCTATCAAGTGGAGTGGAGGCCTGCCGATTTCCCCCTTGATTACAACAGTGCTTACGTTGACACTAAACTCAAAGAGAAAAGTTTATTTGAAGCGTGTGTTACAAAAAAAAAAAAAAAAAACGTTGGGAGTTATTTTACTCTGTGGGGGTGGACGACCAGCGAAGCTGTTTAACACACGACACAGAATTTTGAACAAAGGAACGAACAGATTTATTGTCTTGATCGGTGGTCATCGTGACGAAAGGCACGCACACACACATCGAGGACTATCGCCGCCCCGAGGGGCCGGAGGAAACTAGGCACGCGCGACGGGACCGCCACCCGGCGGAAGGAAAGGAAACTAGGTACGCAAACGCTTGGAACGACGACAAAGAGAGGGCGGTGCGAGCCCTTTCCGAGTTTTTGTTGACGCACACGAAAAATCCACCGAGCCCGAAACAGAAACAGCTTCGCTGTAAAAAAGATGACGGTGCCCGGAACGTGTCTTCGACTGGTCTGTTTTTACCATGTCCTCCTAAAAAGTGGTCGCTCTTCCGCCCGGTGGCGTCGGAGAAATGGCACGCGTCGCCGGCCGCTACCCTGGCCCTTTCACGGCAGCTGGGGTGGATGTGGTAGACTCCTGTTTACGCTGCAGGTCGCCTTCCAGCTTGACAGTTCACGGAAGCTGAGGTAGGCAGGGGTTGGGACGCCATGACTATACTCTAGTCGCGACGACAGCGACACTCCGGTGGGACCAGAAAATTTGTTCAGGAACTTTCTTTTTGTTTTTTGTTTTTTTGTAATCAAGCTGTTAAAAAAAGAGAGGAAAATTAATTGCAGCAGCACAATTTTAGCATCCATCCAGCGATCCACCAGACTCGCAGTGCGTAGCCACTGCGAGTTCGGTAGATGGATGGATGAACGCTAACGGCCATGCCATTTATAACAGCCGATAGCTTGCGCCACCTTGCCCGGAAACGAAGAAACCAAAAGCACGATTCCTTCTCTCGCCCTTCTAAGCCAATTTCCTTTCCCTTTGCATTCTTGTAAACATCACCAGGCGGTGTGGAATATTGCCGAAATGACCTTTGAAAAACAACAACTAAATTCCCTTTGCCTCTTTGCCACGGCGAGGGAGTCGCCAAGTTTCCCCTGAACAAACATTGTCGGCGTCACCCCAACACCCGGCCCACTGGGACGCACGGTTGAGCCTTTGGCCCAGAGACACGCGGGGAAACGCAATTTTCCTCTGCCTCGCCTGTCCCCAGCTATGCCAGTTAGTTGTATACGTCATTCAATTCTCCCTCGATAATTTCCGTCAGTCTTCTAATCTCTTCTTTGTAATTATAGTTCCACTGTCATCCATTCTCCCAATCTCGTCTGCAAACCCTAGAGCCCCTGCCGAACCCGCCGTTCTCTCCGGGAGGGCGGGAGCAAAAGCAAAATCAAATTCTCTATGTGTTTCCAATTTGTCTTCGAAGCAAGCCCCGTGATTTCACTATCATATGTTTGTGTGTCCCGCCTTCCCCTTGGCATACGGCACACCGCGTACACATATCCTAAACTAATATACTAAACACTCCTGTTCTAGACTAAGACAACAACGACCTCCCCCGTCAATTATGATGTCAATGTTCTTTCCTTATTTCCCGATTTCGTCCCCTATACATAGTTAAAACCGATTGTCTCCCTTTTTTTCGTAATTGTTACGCCCCCAGCCGCCAGGATCGCGACATCCGACAGCGTGACACTCCGGCTTTTGAGACGTCATTTCTTGCCCTTGTAAGATCACATCCAATGCATGGGCGGGATAGGACGCTAAACACAGCGGTCGGATGCGCGAGTGGGGATTGAGCTTGAGATCTCTCGGTTTTGCAGCACGAACGTTCGCTCCACGTGCTCCAAGCTGTGGTGCTTTAACCCACGCGGCGACTTTGAATCGAGTGGCACACACTTCTATGCTAAGCTTCCTGTTCTCTCATCACTTCCTTACAGAATGACACAGAATGCACACCAAAACCTCACTAACCTTCTGAATACTTACCGGTAATTATAAGATCCAATTAACAGCGATTGTGACAAAATTAATTTGACAGGTTGCATTTTTACATGTTTATAACATTATTCATTTCTCTCGAGCACAATCTTACAAAGTAGCTGAAGCAACCGATCAAGCAAGCCTACACATCACAAAAATAAAGCAAAACTCGTGTTTAAGTCTTCACAGAACACGCGGTGGGTTTAATCACTTCGATCTACAGAGCGCTCCAAGCGAATGACGCCGCCCATAAGTGTTTAAATCGAAAACGCGATCTGCACAGGAAAATATTTTCTTTTCCTCTGCCTTCCCGGCGGGGTTCGAGCGTTGACAATTACGAAGTTAAACAACTGGCCCAATTACTTAGTTTAGTACATGAACAAATGTTATGCGGCATTTTGACAATTGGTGTTGCATATAATTCGAATATGAATTTAATTCAGTTTTACCCAATTACCGCATCTCCTAAACATTTGCCCGCTTCGTACTAGGGACATGAAGGTCAGATTTGTTAAAATAATTGAAACACTACCTGTTCACTTCATCTTGTGATATGTGACCATTTCGCGAAGAGCCTCAAGTGTCTATCCAAAGTTAATGGCAGCAAGCATCGAAATCACTTACGTGAGATTAAAAAATAAATTATGCACTCACACAACACACGGAAGCAGGCAAACTCTGATTAATATTTAATCTAAACATGAAAAATAATAGAACGTATAATCATGACTCATATTTGCATTATTTTTAATTGTGGTAGTTTATATTGCAGGTTCCAGGAGAAAGACACCCTCATCCGACGTCTCTAGAGAAGACGCCTTCTCATCTGCAGCTGTTCAAGTCCAGGTGGAGGACCAGTCGGTGGGGCCTGAAGCTTCTTGGCAGGCTCCAAGATTTTATTACTTACTATTTCTTTATGCTTTTGAATTTTTCAAATTTTCGATTTCACAATAAAGACGTGGTACACATTACTGTTCTCTGACATGACAAGCATGACTTTTTTAAATGTCTGGATTGTTTGTCTCTAGAAGTACTCAGTTAAATTTTAATGCCGGAAAATTGCCAGTGAGTATTATTGTCTTCTCTCTGAAACCTCCTCGAAGTGCCTCCTTAAGAAACTTGACACGCGAAGAATTCAGAACTCTTTGGTATGACAGGTGACCTCAGAAATCGCCCCTCCAGCACACCTGAACAAGCCATTTAGGCTTGTTCAGGTGTGCTGGAGTCTCGGGGTCTGAAAAAGGGCCCTCACAATTTGGAGCTCCGCGAGTCCCATGGTGTACAAGAGCGACCCCGAAAGTGGGAAGTCGCGGGAACCCTCGGGGGTTGTGCATAGTGTCCGACAGCACCCGCAATTATGGGGATCACGCGAGTCCTTACATTCTGAAAAAAAAAGGTATTACACTCTAAGAAAAAAAGGAGGAGAAAGGTAGCAAAAGTGACTGTTCCTCCTTGCGTTAGACACGCCCCCCTCAGAAGGGAGGAACGGAAGCTAAGACGGAAGGAACAACGCACGTTCCTCCCTGTCCAGTTGGTGCAGGGGTAGAACATCGCGCTACTGATCTAGTGGTCGAGGGTTCGATCCCTGAAAATTGTGACGCTTTTTATTATTATTTTTTTTTATTATTTTTCTTGCTTTGCTAGGTTTTCTTTTTTTGTTTTTTTATTTTTTTTTTTTATTTACCACGACAAAATTAAACAAAACCCAGACCGATGGAAGGAAAATTAAAGTCCTTATTATCCACCGATACTAGCTTCATCAGCACGCTGTTTGATAAACAGGATTTGGTTGGGTCTAAGCCGTTGACGCAGGGGCTAAGACGACGAGGTTGGTCCTTCAGTCGTTCGACATTCATAAAGAAAAAAGCGTAAACACATCCGTCATAATCAGCTAAGCTTTGTAACGATGCCGACACCTTCTACGTACACTGGGCTTGGATTGCGCCTGCGATCAGCTGCGGTAGCGACGGGCTTCGGACTGTTCGGACCTCGACCAATCGTGCCTCGGCTGCCTCGGCCGCCTCGACTGCCGGGCCCTGCTCTGGCTGTGACCGCTGCAACCAACGGTGCAAAGACTGCAAGCGAGTTGTGGCTCTTTGAGGTCCCTTGTTCTCGCGACCGCTGTGCAGCGACTGTGATGTGTGGTTTATCTGTGCGTCTTCTGTGCGGCGTTCGGTGTTGTCACCCCTTTCCGTTTACCACCCGACCATCACCTCAAATCTGTGTTTCCGGAGCTGCAGATGGCCGTGCTGCTGTTGTGTACGAAGACGCGAACGGTCGCCGACGTCCCTCGTGTGCAGGGCGCCCGGAGGTGTGGGAGAAAGTTGCAGTATTCTACTTGTGGTAAAGACGCAACAAAACAAAAGGGTTTTCTTTTCTCCTCCGGCCCCTCTCCTCCCTCCAGGAATATTTCTGCGGGCGCTCACGCCTGTGTGTCCTGTTATTTGGCCAACTTGTTGAAGCCAGTTGGTCAAAGTCCAATTCCTCGTTAGACAACTTGTAAAGTAGGCGACTTCGTCGCAAGCCAATTTGCAGATCCCAACTCGTCGAAGACCAGTTTTGTTTTGTAGGCTTCAGAGGAGTTAAGAGAAACCCCTTATTATTGTCCTTTGTTGCTTTACATGTTTTGCCCTCAATGTTATTTTGTTCCCTTTGTATGTCCAAGTACAAGGCGCTATTAGGAGAATGATGAAATGCGAACGGCGGAATGTATGTGGTTTTCGATACACACTGCGTCACCTGGCAGCTCTCTGGGAACTCGTCAAAATGTGCGTTGGGAGTGAGGGTACGACTCCTACCAGCCCTATTATCTACTGAGAAGTGCTAAACCAGGGGTGCACAACTAAAAAATTATATGGGCCAAAATTATGTTTATCAAAAACTGCAGGCCGCACCTAGTGCAATGTGTTGTACATTTTGGCTGCGGTTATGCTTCCGATATCAGGTGTCATCGCACTCGTTTCTGTCTTTAGCACATCTCGCAATGTCATAACCATCACGACAGATCGAAGGCGGTTCTTGTTCAGAGTGGTCAGTCGTTAGCGTGCCTGCTGTAGCATGCGAGTGGTTCGGGCAGTTGTAGGCCTGATGATACGAGTACATCCAAGATTCGAGAGCCGCTGCCTGCCCATGACTAATGAGACTGCAAAATCTGCATAGCTGCAACTCTCATGTTGATTATTTGTCTGTGCGCCTTATCTACTATATTCTTCCCGAGTGCGTCAACTGGTGATCACCTTGTTTTGTTTTTCTGCACATAACCAACATGCCCAGGCACTGCTGTCTGTTGTGAAAGTGGTCATGAATGACTATGCGAATGGTCGCCAATGTTGCCATTTGTCAAAGGGTCAACCGACGATCATCTGAGGATAATCTTGGTTCGTGTCTCTGTGCATCACCAGTATCGCTAAAACAGTGCTGTCTATCCTGGAATTGGTTGTAAACGAAGACGCGGCTGGTCACTCAGGTCTTCCTGTGTTTCACAGCAAGATGACATGTGCTCCCTAGTTGCTATTCTATTTCAGATTTTAATGTTTTAGGGAACCGTTCGTGCGACTGGTACAATCGATCGACCTGCGGATAGTCACGTTGTGACGCTGATCTAGACCGTAACTTCGATCATACTATGGCCAATATCGCTGTCGTCCGCATGCAATGCCGTGCTAGCCACACTTTGGGTGCTTCCAAAAAAGAAGGCTGAACAGCATTAAAATATTGCGGAAAGGAGACGTGTGCTTGTTATCAAACAGTGGCGTGTTAGTGGTCGGGGGTCGAGACTCTTACAGCATGTTGCATGTTGCGCCAGCCTTGTCAGGGCTCCCAAGGTAGCGGGAGGCTATCGACTGCGTGTTGACTTAACCAAGCTGAACCATGTCATCCTCTGAGAACAGAACATGATGCCGACCGTCGATCAGGCGTTTGGGTTGCCCGGAAGCATTACCGTTGTCTCGAAAAGGGGTGCAATGTCTGGGTTTCACCAGGTACGCCTTTCCGAAAGCTGCCAGGTGTACATGATGTTAAATACACCCTTCGAGCGATTCTCTTATCGCTGCCTGCCCTTCGAAATTATGTCCGCCCCAGGGGTGCTCCAGAGCTTGATGTCACTGATTCTCAAAGGAATTAAGGGATGCATCAACATGGTAGACGACATTCTGGTGTTTGGCAGAGACTGATCTAAACCCGACAGCAGACTCCAAGTTGCCCTCCAGAGGCTGCAGCAAGCGGGCGTTATGCTGAATGCCTCCAAGTGCCGCCTCGGGGTGTCGTCCCTTAAGTTCCTTGGTGTGGTGTTGAGCACCAACGGCATAGCACCGGTCCTCGATAAGGTCCCCCGCCATCACGGGTATGCGATTTCCGACAGACATGCAAGGCGTGCAGCGTCTCCTGGAAATGCTGAACCACATCGGACATTTCTTGCTGAGCCTCTCCGCCGCCACTGCGCCAATCAGGCTCGTTCTGAACGAGGACACGGTCTGGACCTGGGAGGACTAGTCAAGCTTCAGCCTTCGACTTGCTGAAGAAGACGGTGGCATTCAGCTCCTGCGTGGCTCGATAGAACACACAGTATCCCACAACCATTTCTGCAGGCATCAACTCGTACGGCCTGAGTGCGGTCCTCCTGCAGGAGCAACGATCTGGCGAGCGAGGAGCACATGGGCGTACCAACCGGGGGGCAAGGAATGCTTGCCCCCCCCCCCCCCCCCCCCCCCCCAGTTCTCAGAGTGGGGGGAGGGTGGGCGAGGCATGTGTTTTGCCCCCCTCCGAAACAGCCGCCACTGGGCAGTGCACACTGGCCGGCGGCGCCCAAGGGATACCAAGGGCACCGCCCCCCCCCCCGGGGGGGGGGGGGGGGGTCTGGTTTGCCCCCCACTTAAAAACAAGTTGGTATGCCACTGGAGGAGCAGTTCCTTTTGCGTCGCGGACAATGGCTAGTGCCGAACAGCGCTACAGCCAAACTCTGAAGAAAGCACTGGGTGTCTCGTGGGCTGTCCAGAGGTTCGAGGAGTTCCTGCACGATTCGAGCTTTGTTGTTGAAACCAACCTGGGCTCTGCCGATCTAGACCTCATGCCTCATCGCGTCCAGTGGCTCTGCATCTAGCTGTTGCACCACCAGTTTATGGTGCAGCACGTTCCTGGCAAGTACTTCACCACTGCCAACATGTTGTTTAGAGACACCGAGGGCCTCGTTCCAGCTATGTCTACTGCGGACAGTGTCGAGCTCTTCATGTCACAGGTTGTGACTGCAAGCCACTGTAAGAAGAAAAGGGAGGAAAAAGATAGCAACAGCGTCTTTCCTCCATTTCACTGACGTGTCTCCATATATATCCGAGAAGCAGGGAGAAACGAGATGTCTTCCTTCTGAGGCTGAGTGGAGGAAATTGATTGCATCTAATTTTCATGAGCTGCTCTAAGCTTTGTGACTTCTTTATTAGTTTCTTTCAGACACGCTGCACGTGCACTTTGATAAGCAGTATTTGTGCACCCATGCATGTCCACGCAGTACGATAAGTTAACTGAAATTGTGAACGCATAGTATCGTTGAGAGTTAGCTATGTATACCAACCACAGGCCGTCCATAGTATGTTCTCCGAAGAACGCAGAGCAGGATGCTGGTTTCTACCTTTCAGTTTGTCGAATAAGTAAACAAAGCCGTCATAAACTGCTAAGTTCCAAAATGGTGCTACGTACACCGGGCATGGTGGATGCGCAAGATTCGCCCGAGTCTGCTGAGCCTATTTGAGCATCACGACGGTGAGCCCCTGATAATGGCGACCGTGACATTCACCGTTGCAGCGACTCTCCTGCCTTTTACTAGTTTGTGGGTCTACCGTACTATGTTCTTACCAAGTGTGTCGACCGACGATCGCCTTGTGTTCCTTTTTTATGCGCATAACTGTCAATGCTATGGCAGTACTGCCTGTTGTGAAAGTGGTCATGACCCCAGACGCAAACCGTCGCCAATGACACCATGCGTTCCAGTGTTAACTGATATCTAATTATCGTCTTGGTGGTTCGGATCCGCACATCACCAATATCGCTATGGCAGTGCTCTCTACTGTGAAAGTGGTTGTGAACAAACTCGCCAACTGTTGCTGAGCTCACCTTCTGTGCCCAAGTGACCTAGATAATACAGTTACTGGCTTCCCCTGCCCAAGAAGTCTTTCCCTTTCCATTGCAAGGAAGTCGATATTTCCGTCATCCCTGCTGGTGTTCTCGCAGCTGCCACAATGTGGTGAATATTTGCAGCGCTTTGGAGGGGGTAGGTGCTTAACATAAGATCAGAATTACCAAGTTTTGGAAATGTTAATTGTGGGCACTTGTCTGACAGTATTAATAAAATTAGAGTAAAAACGCAAGCGAGCTGATGCACGTCTGTATTGAGAAACCTCGAGACTAGGAATAGAGAGGACAAGGACAACACAGTCTCAAAACCAGCACAGAAATTTAATTTCAGGACAATCTTTTTTGTTTTCTTTGCACAGCATGAAACACATGAAACGAATCTCCACGTAACCTGCACCTTTCAGACTGTTTTTAAGCCCATGTTTGAGTGCTCGAGACTTTCACGATATAGAGTGTGCAGCTGACGTGGAGATTTGTTTCATGTGTTTCGTGCTATGCAAAGGAAATAAGGAATATTGTGCTGAAGTTAAATCATCTCTGTGCTGGTTTTGAGATGGTGTTGTCCTTGTCCTCTCTGTTCCTATTCTCAAGGTTTTTCAATATACATTTATTGATATTCTTAAAACTGGCACAGTCAGATTTGTCTCCTTCATACCTTCTTCACACACATTTTTACAAGATTTAATTTCCATATCATATTTCAAAATAAGGCAAATCTCAGGATATTTTTGGGGAACCCCCTTTCAGAGCAGGTGTCCTTTCTTTATTCCGTTTGATTTTTCGTTGGCATTGCCAGGCAGGGAGGCAGAAACAAATGGCATTGCTGCCTGGCAGAGTTCCTACTCCCCTACAGTTCAAAGTAGAACACGAACATGCACCAAGATTGTAAAAGCATTTTTAACACTTTACGAAAATTGCAGGAGTAGGTTTTCTCTAGCAAGTTTGAAAAAGATGACAAAGGCAAGAATTGGTGCACCAACAAAATTAAAAACTGACTCAAGCATGCTAGGACAAATTCAAATACAAAAAAGTCTTAAACATGAAGAATGGACAAAAAAGCACAAGAAATATAATAAAAGCAAAATGACCACACACACAAAAAATGTTCAAGATGACACGGTTAACCGTGATGCAACGATAGCACTAATAAAAAAAACTTTCCAAATTCACTAAAAAACAGATGCATTCGAAAAAAGAAATGTAAATCATAATTCAGCTTCAGTTTGCTCTAGTTTGTTTGTATGTTCAGTTTTCTTGTGTTGGGCCGGAATGTATCCCCTTGTGTTGTGGTGTTAATTAAGCTTGCAAAATTGCGAAGTGAGGCACAACTTCGTAGAGTGTGCCAGAGTTGTACAGGTCAAGTGAGCACAAGTCAAACTCGTTGCCTGGTGTCACTGCCACAATGTCGTTGCATTTTTCCACAATGTACGAGCACCTGTGATTGCAGTAGCACACAGTTTTCAGACGTCGGCAAAGGAGGATCAATAATCCGCAAACCACCAGCAGCTTTTCGACTTGGAGGAAGATTGGTGTGTCGTTCTGCACATCGAAGATGATCACATCTCCCAGTCGGTACATACGACTGTTTGCACTGGCAGTCTTCACAGAGCAAAGGGTAGCTTCTGGCGTGATGACGCAGACAGCGGCTTGCTCTTCTTGTGAAAGGCTGGTTAACTTCACCACAACAGAACCAGTCGTTTCAATGCAGCTTTCGAAAAGCTTTCCCGAGAGCTCGTAGGCTTGCAACAGCTGATGGCGTGTGCTTAGTGTTCGGCAGATGTTGCGAAAGTTTCGCACATTTGAAGCAATAGTCTTGAAGTAGGCATGTTTAGCCTCGAAGCGCATTCCCCAGTACCTACGTGGTGGGCCAAACCTCTGTATGAAGCCTGGGTAATGGAGCAAGTAGTGCAACTTTGCTGTCACTGGTGCAGATGGGTACAGCAATGTGAATGCTTCCAGAAACTCTTGGATCTTGATCTGGAGATAGGAAATGCAGTCTCTTGGAATCCTCTCTGCTAGGATAATGTCGATGCAATGTCTGTAGGCCACATAGACTAACCAATGTGGGTTATCGGGAGGCACAGAATCTCCAAAGATCTGCGGGAGGAGCCTGAATAAGCACCACTTTTGGCTTGCTGTGCCACGCAGGTTGGCTTTTCCTTGCAGAAACTTCTCTTTGGGTGCAACAGGGGCAGCCTTTTTGTCGTGAAATCCATAATTGAAGCTATTCACCTTGTCCATGTCGGACTTTTGAAGCGTGCCATCTTCTACTAGACCATGCAGGACACGCTGCATGACGACGCCCATTCCCCCTTCCAAGATATCATGCATTGCGTCCGGGGGGAGTTGTGATGTAATGTCAAACTCTGCGATGCTTTGGAGTGGAGGAATGGCAGAGATGCCATACAATGGGCCATTTTGGGCTGGATTCAAAGCGAATGCTTTCAGGTGGCTTTCATGTCCTGCGCGTGTTCTCATCGTGCAATCTGCCTCGGAGAAAAGCTTGTCCAAATACCCGTAGCGACCAAGGCAGAAACGACATATGCGGCCGCTACTAAAGCAGCACTGGAGGCCAGCCATCTTGTGCATAGAAAGGTTGTCCCCAGTGAATGCTACTGTCACCACATTGAAGTGCTTCCCTTGTGCATGCATGCCATGCTCATGGACATAATTCAAGTCCTGGATAAGGGGAGCAAGAACTCGATCCAAGCCATACTTTTTGACCATCGGGTACCTGACAAGCAGCAGGAGGTGCACGGCACTCAACTTTGACCGGTGCCTTGGATGGATGTTGATCAGCGAGAAGTAGACAACAAGGATCTTGTGAGACCCTGCTGCCGCACCCAGAGGATTGCTCAGCTCAAGCTCATCTGAATAAAGGAGGAGGAAGATGGTCGGTGTCTCACTGCCCTCTTGGCGCAACAGCTGTTGGCTGAGGAAGTCTCCATCGGTAATATCTTGAAGGACTTTGGACTGATGTATGGGCTGCATGACACTTTCAAGGATCTCAGTGGATGACAGGAGATTTCCCAGTAGTGGCGATAGAGGTACATAGCACACCGACTCTTGCAGTGCTTGGTTGCCCGTCTGAAGTGGCATCACCAGAACGTCTGTGTAGGAGAGGTTCTCCATCACGTATTTCTTCCTGAGGTAGGTGGTCTGTATCCCTGAAAATATGTCCTCAACAACATGTTCAGCATGTTGGAGTGAGGCCAACTTCTCTCTCACTGACATAGCAACATTCTCCTTCTCAAGGATATCTTGAGTTTGTTCCGTGATACTTTCAAGGACTTCAGACACCACATTTCTTAAAACACTGAGGATTTCATCAGCAGTGCTGTGTGCTAGCTTCAGCTCCTCGGTAATCCTAAGGTGGAATAACAACAGCCGCCTTCGAAGAGCGCTTCTCCTGTCTTCCCTTGGTGCTCCAGAGGATGGCTCTTGTGATGATGTACTTGGCGAGTCTAAGCTCTCATGTTCAGTTTCTTTGTCAGGTTCATTGGCTGCCTTTTGGAGTCTGGCTTCAGTTGAAACCGTTGCCATGGCAGCATTGTGTTTGCGATAGACATGTGTTCTGTACGAATTATAAAGTCTAAAAGATGCGGCACAGCCGCCGATCCCACAAACCACTCGAAAATTGGTCTCGCAGCTGTGCTTAACCATGTGGTTCACAACGCGTTTGATGGACGTCGCCGTGTATACACATCTTGGGCAGCCTACAAGATCCCGAGGCATTGCGCTCGCCTCTTGTTTTCCCACTGGTGAAAATACTGATGATGCAACAGTCAAGGCATCATGCCGTTTCACGCACTTGTCACTGACCTTGCATCTTCTCCATTGGGCTGTTGAAGTCCGAGGCAAAATCTCTTCTTTCCAGACAGAACGTATTGCACGAGAAACTTAGTGGAGAATGTTCCTTTTTTTGTCACACTGCCCTTGGCGGAGACTCGGTTTCGGTTGTAGCAAAGGGGCGTATCGCGCGCGACGCGCGACCGTGCCGTGGACGGAAATGCAGCGCCGGGGGAGGGAGAAAGCGAAAAGCACTAGGGAGGCGGGGAAGAAAAAAAGGGTAAAGGCAGGGAGAAGTGGTTTCTCTTCTCCGCTCCAAGCTTCCTAGCGCTTGCCCTTTTTCCTTCGCCCGACGATGTCTTTGCGTCCTCTGCACGGTTTTAATCAGACAGGGTGTAGTTTCGCATTACCATCTCCACTCTAAAGTGAATACATATGGTTTTTCGAATACTCATTGCAGAAGAAAACACTATGTATGATCGGCATGCTCCACACCGTTCAGATTATGTACCACAGTTTGAGGCGCGCCAGCGAAGCCGCAAACAGAACAAGAACTGACTCCCAGCGCAGATAGGCACAGGTAGAAATCGGGCTTCGGGAGAATTCGCTGTTACGTCAAGTTGCTATATAAATGAAATGCATTTTAACTCAGATAACGTGTTAATTGGAAATAAATGTTTTTATGCTAATGATCGGCGCAATTAAGTTTTTTAATGGCTCTGTCATTTCAGTTTTTCGAGACAGGGAAGCCTGTGACACTAATATTATATCACGAAACAGTAATAACTTAAAAAATAGGAACGAAATTGAAATGTATATATATATATGTGTGTGTGCGTGTGCTTGTATTACCGTATTACGCTTGTTCGCACACACGATTTTTGCGACCGCGCGCCATTTTCGTCGTGCGCTTGGAGACGTGAGACGCAAGTTCCGCGCGCAGTTAAACCGCTCAACTTTTTTTTAGATCCCCCTGCGGCTTAATATTGAGTCACAATTATTTTCATAAAACGTAAGATTGGTCCCTCGCTTTTAGGAAACAGAATGTTACGGTGTGTAGGCTGCTACGAAAAGTTTTGTCGCCCTTTAAGATTGCCTCCAAACGCAAGCGAAACTGATGTGAGACATGCTTTCCTCATCAAGTTCCCGGAGATCATTTCGGGCCTGGAGAATGTTCTGATTCAGGTGCGTATAACAGTAATGTATGATAATATTTTTGCGTACGCATAACATTGTTATCATGCTTTGCGCATTCTATGTGAACCACATAGTATCTAAAATGAGCCGAAAAAAAATCAGCGACGTCACGTATGAAATGCAACTTTCCTCAAATGTGTTTTTTACTGGCGCATCTTGCTAGCTTTAAAATTTCAAAACTCGACTCCTAGTGCGAAAAGAAAAAATAATCGGACTTTCCGTACCATGCGGTAACATTATGGGGCTAACCCCCCATAATGGGGGTTAGCCCCATAATGGGGGGTTAGCCCCATAATGACCGAAAAAAAAATCCGCCTGGTGTCCAACCCAGGACCTCTCCATGACAGGTGGAGCGCTCTACCAACTGAGCTAACCAGGGGTTAGACGTCAGTAGAGCAAACCGGTTTTATCAGCTGCCACCAGTTTATCACCAACGACGGCGAAGCTTGCGATTTAAGGTTATAATTATAATGCAATTAAATGCAAAGGTGCAAGCGAGCTGGACAAAAATGACTAAAATATTCCCTGGAAAAGGGGAACAAGAGGGACAAGGTGCACTCCACCAGTAATGGAGAGGTCCCGGGTTCAGGAGGGACAAAGAGCGCTCCGCCTGTAATGGAGAGGTCCCGGGTTCGACACCCGGATTAGGCGGATTTTTTTCGGTCGCTCACCAGTCACCTAGCTGTGTTTGGAGATTTGTGTTTGTCCTTTGTCCCTCTTGTTCCCCTTCTCCAGGGATTATTTTCGTCTTTCACCATTTAGTTCTGCAAATTTTCGTCAACATTCTTTTTTTTTTTTTTTTTTTTTTTCAGTGTTGATCGCGAAAAAGAAATGTCGTAAATATCGCCAAATGTCTCGACAAAACAAAATATTTGAGAAAAAAAAAATGTAGGCTTACACCGCAGATCAAACCTGCATCCACTTGCCACTATGCTATGCCACCGCTTAGCAAACTCGTAACCATTCTCTTTATACGAGTTTTGCGTAGTGCGTATAGTCCTTTCCGGCCGAGATGCACGACAGAGTGCGTATATATAGGTTTACACTTTTTTTTACGACCGTCTGTCTGTGGCCATGCAACTTCAAAAAAAAAAAAAACTGTTGTGCAATTACCTGCTGCACATCCACATTTTGGGTTGCACAATGACCTATTGAACAACCACCTGTGTTGGGTTGCATAATGACCTATTGAACAACCACCTGCCATAAAACCACCTTGCATAACCACTGCTTGGACAACCACCTAACCATGTGGTGCATCACCACCTGTTGGGCAACCAGCTGTTGTGCAACCACATGTTGCCATCTGTTGCACCACTTGTTGTAACAGCGGTGCATATATACCGGTTACCCCTCACTTATGCATACGGCGCACTATGGCCTATGTTGCTGCTGCGCCAGAAAACTCCGAACTCATCACGCATTCATACAATCTAATAGAATTAATATCAATTGCTGTCGCATTTGCACTACTTTGGGTTTAGGCAGAGAGTGCTGTCAGCTTTTTTTTTCTTTTTTGCTTTTTAAATGTGACCAGTAAAGGACATATTTTAGGATGGTGACTTACTTATATGTCAAGTCGCTGATTTTTGCGGCCCATTCTAGTGTGGAGTCTAATCTAGTTAAATCATATGTATATGGGAATCAAACTGTCTGCTGTGTAATGTAGCAGTAATGAGTGGCTGCACAACAGTGAGAGAGAATGGGAAGCATAAATCTTGCCATAATGTACTTGCAAGGGAATGAGAAAAATGCTTCTGTGTTTCAAATAATAAGACATGGAGTGGAAGGTCCACTGCAGCACTTACGAGACACATCACATGTGGATGCTTATAGGTGTCCACAAGTAGTGCTTTAATTTAAGTAGTGTTCTTTTTTTTTTTTTTTAAGTGTCGCTTAGAGAAGATAGAAAGATACATGCAAACAAATTTTTTCTTGCGAACATCAAAACTGTTTGTTGATCACATATACAATAATCATATATGATTGTCCTTTGCAATGTTTTCAGGTCTATGATGCCCAGCTTGATTCGTACCTTGACTGGGATGAAGAAACTGTTCTTTCTGTGGGATCAAAAATTAGAGCTATCCAGCTAGAAACCAACTCAAATGAAGCACACCCACCAGGTCTGCCATGCACTGACGCTAACAGAGGGGACGAGTAAGGCTGTTTCATTTACTGTGAGAGTTGCACAAGCTATGTGTCAATACATGATAGATTAAACAGGAATTATATTTGTTGCCTAACTTGAACCTTAAATCTGCAGCCCTAAGTTGTCACCCATGTTCTCTGCACAAGTGCAACTGGAGAAGCTCGATCCGGCGAAGTATGTGCTTCCACAAGTACCAGCGGATATTGCCATTGAACTGAGCTTACTCGACAAAAAATCGGGTGTGCCAACAAAGCTCAGGAATCGGATCATAGAATGGCTCTGCCATGACCTTTTTAGATACACACTGTAAGTATCTCCAGTGATGTGATTGCTGCACCATTTGCGCCAAACTGTGCCTAAGTGCTTACTCTGCTATATCTTGCTACATTTTACCAAAACGCGGGTAATTTGCACCAACGCTGTGCCAATAGCTCTTTTCGTTTCATCACAACCAAAACTAATAACTCAGTCGTTGCTACACTGCCAGATTGCTACGGTAAGCTCGCACACAGTTTCAACAATTTTGTGCATCGCTCTGAATAACGTGCGATTTGATATCCTCTCACCGATCATGACCAGTACTCTGAAGTCTCGGGTTATTTATCATTATTTGTCGTATGTTCGAGCGGTTTAAATAGTTCCGTTGAGTGCGCTTCTCACCGCGCACTGGTGCACTCAGAGAAGTTGTGCCCACGGAGTGATATTCATGATTTCATGTATGTGGCTTAGCCGCAGCGCAGTCTTATGTTGAGGGGTAAACACTCTTCCAGGGTAGAATGGTAGACGACCATGCGTCGTGCCTTAAAAAAATGAAATAAAAATGAGTGAATGCTGATTGACAGCATAAACGTGGCTGTAAAATTTGTACAATAAAATTGCGTTTAGTTTATGAGACTGCAACATTCTGACAAGTTGCATGCATCATTTGTCGCTATCATGTTTTATTATTTTTTTAATTGAGATTTCGGGAAGGGTATATTGAACTTGGGTATGGGGAAAACAATGGACAAATCATAGTGATTAGGTGTAGCTGGGCTGAATCACGGGTTTATTTTTCAAAAGTTTTGGTCAACATTAATAAGCAGGCCCCCAAATA